ATTACTCCTCCTGTATATATGTCACTACCTTGACTGTAAATAAACCTCACTGCTTGCACCGAAGCCAGCCACCTGGGTCCGCTTTTTATCTGCTCGCTCACTCTGTGTTCGAGCGCACCCTAACAATATCTTAAGTCTGAGTAAGTTACAGCAGGCCTGGTCTACACTCCACTTCATCCATCACTCAGTCCAGGGGTCATTTTCTCTAGCTCAGACATCTGACCCCCCAAAACACACACACTCACACACACACATTTACATCCAACACATAGCGCAACCATTTACATCTCTATGCTCTCAAATTCCACTGGCTCATCAGTTTGGCATTTCTCTTGTGGTCACATAGCTCAATCATTTACATTTGAATGTTGCAGCCACGATGTTCTAACATCATCTAATAAATAACATTGCCTGAATGTTATCCAAGACACATTACACTGACAACATTCTGAGAAGGTTCTCGAAATGTTGCAGCCAGAACATTTTATTTTCATTAAATATGCAACGTTGCTTCAATGTTCACAAACAAACATTGCATTCACAATGTTTTAAAAACATTTATTGAATATTTCAGTTAGAACGTTATAAATGGGTGCAAAAATAACATTGTAACAACATTTTTATATCAGTGAAATCATCCTTAGAACATTAATGGAATGTTTTAAACTAATGTTCCATCTGTAACCTTTGTAGAACTCGTAGGCAATGTTACTAAAAGTTGTGGCAACGTTCCTTCCTAGCTGGGTAGTACCTTGAATCTGCTACCTGAGTCCTACTTGATTCTCTCACCTCCCAACGAGAGAGGTCCATAACATAATGTTTGACATTAAGTGACTGATATGATAAAATATATATTTTGTCTTTAAATAAGACTTTTCTAAAACTCCGTTAAAAAGGTAAACATACTTTTTTGCAGCTACAATTATATCCTGGTAATCCTGCCTGTCCTGTCCAGAGCCTGTTTTGCCTCTGTCCTCTCTCTCCTCCACCTGGTGACTCTTCTTTGTGTCTTAAATAAACTCCTTTTGTGTTCAACTCCTGTGTGTCTGCATATTGGGTCCAACCGCGCCTCCACCGCGACAGTGGTCGCATCTGAAGGATAAGGATAAACTGAACTCATGACCTCAATATTTTTTAAATCCAGGTAAGGGCTCCAGAGGCCCATTATTTGTCATCTTATGATAAAAAATAAGGTATTTTATTAAAGATTACTTCATTGTCTCATAGCTGCTCTACCAAAATAATGACTGAAATGGCTACAGTGCAATGTGTCATACAAGTGACCTTCTTGTGAAACTATTACATTAGTGTTTCTAGAAAAACATTGTGGGAGGACATTTTTATTGACTGACACAACAAACCGCTGCATCTCTTGTTCCTACTTCACATTTTTGTGTATCACACAGTAACATAGTTCTGATGCAATGACTAAGTATTCATCTTATGCTCATACAAACACAAATAAACGTGAACATAAGTCATTACTGACAAAATCATCTTCACTACACTAAAGAAGTGAATAAAGCAATGACTTCAACTGATAATCACCTGTCATATGACTCTAGCTGCAGAGAGCTCACTCATTGCAGTTCATCCACTGCAGAGGTTCGGCCAGCTCCCCCCCCCCCCCTGCAGAGGTCCGGCCAGCTCCCCCCCCCCATTATGATTCGCCTCTCACTGGCTGTGGGACCCTCCCCTTCTCCTCCTCTTTGCGCCTCAAAAGCGCGATCCATGGTGCGAGAGTCTCCATTTTTCGTTGCGCTACAGGATGGCATTCTTCAAATATCTTCGCTCTGTTACGAGTGAGCTTATCCTCTTCTCGGCACCATTTCTTCTTCTTCCACTGCCCTTAGTGATCGGGACATCGGTATGTACCTGACTTGGATGAAACAACAGATTCTACTTTGCCACATTGATAAAAGTGGAGAAATTTGCCAACTTGTTGATATGAAGCAATTAAAATTTACATCTCTAATCGTCACTATTTGACCACGTTAATAATAATAATGTTAATTTATTTAGGGAAAAACATCACTACGTGTACACGCAGTTTTAACACGACAGAACTAAAATTCTTTGTGCCAAACTTTGTATTTATTTATTGCTTTATTGCCTAGAAATGCCCTGTATGAGTCTGCACTGGTTCTCTGATGCAACTGTTGATGTGGCTAACAAGTGCACAGCGCACTTGGAGCAAAATGCGTGAGAACTGCCCAGCGTTAAATCCTTGGTTTACACGAAGGGTCACGTCCTGCGTGGAAACACAGAGTCAAAGGGCTCTGTCCACGGTGTTATCCCTACATGTGACATGGAGACAAGCTCACAGGACAGAGGCATGCTGGCGTCTAACAGGAACAGACGTGGAGAGAAGAAGACTCAAACTGATTGTAGACAAGGTGTAGAAGTCTTTGCTTTGCAAAAACGAAATAAAAATGTAAATCATGGAAAATATATTTAAAAAACGCATTTGATATTTTACAGGAAGGCCAGTCTGTAAAAAGAAATGTTTTAAAAGTCAAGACAGAATCAATGAGCCTGATTTTTTTCAGGAAAGCTGTTCCATAGTCTAGACTTAGGAACAGTCTGAAGTGCTGTGATGTGGTTCTCAGTTAAAAGGCCTGAGATAATCTGTTAAAATCCTGTCAGCTGCATTTTGTACTACTACTAATAGTAATAATAATAATTATTATTATTACTATTACTATAACTATTATTATTAGAAACATCCACACCTGGATGTCAGTGTTTTTTAGCAGCCATCCATTTTTTGATGTCCTCAAGGTAGTTTCAAAGGGACAGAATCACGTTTTAATTGTTGGGGCCAACGCTACAGTAGATTTGGGTAATCTGTGTAATAGTGGGAACTGATAATATGTGCTCTCAAAAGGTGTGCTAGAGGCAACATGTAGATTGAAAATAAAATAGCACCAAGCATCAAACCCTGAGGAACCCCACAAAGCAATTCTGAGTTAGAAGACCTATGCTCACCACACTCAACATAAAGACAAAGTATTGATCTATAAGCAATCAAGGTACTCACGTTAACCAAAAAAGATTTTCAAAGTTGTAATTACACAGGCTGTAGGGCAATAAAACAACAGAAATGACCACTACATGGTGTTTACAGAGCCCCGAAGTGTGGTCTGGACAAATGCAAGAACGTGACAATAGAACAAGCACACCTTCACCCTTGAAACAATCATAATGCTCCTTTAAAAATTATGTAATGACTGCTTTTAGACCTTATATGTTATCTTTCTATAGCAGCTCTTGACCCCTAAAGAAGTAATGTGTGTTTGTGTGTGTGCACATTTCCCTATTTACTGTATTTTTGCATGTTTTTATGCAGGAGGCACAATGTGCATATGTGATAGTCCTGATGGCGGTATACTGGTGTACAGAAGTCCTACCACTGCCTGTAACATCTCTGCTCCCAGCACTTCTTTTTCCTCTGTTTGGCATCATGCGGTCCAAAGACGTAAGAAACAAAACCCACAACAGTGTGCACAGTTTGGTCAGCAAGGATGTATTTCTGTTCACATACGTTTTACTCTTTACAACCCTGCTGTTGCAGGTGAGTATGCAGTACCTTAAGGACTCAAACCTGTTGTTTGTGGGAGGAATGATGGTTTCGATTGCTGTGGAGCACTGGAATCTGCACAAGCGAATCGCCTTGAGGGTGTTGCTCTTTGTTGGTGTGCGCCCAGCACTGTGAGTGGTTCAGTTTTATGCTTTCACAGCAGATTCTTCCTTTGTCTTGTCATTTTTAGGACTGGCATCTTCAAATCATCTCCAATCAGCAATTACATCAGATAAGGATGCAGATAAGAAAATGTTTAAGGTTTTTCATTATTGTCATAAACATCTGTCTTTGTCTTTCTCTGTTGTTCATTATTGTAAAAAAAAAACTTCCAATTCCACAAAATATTTTATTTTTATTTCCATTTTTTATCTTACTGGCAGTTTGATGTTGGGTTTCATGGGTGTGACAGCCTTCCTATCCATGTGGATCAGTAACACGGCTACCACAGCCATGATGGTGCCTATTGTCCAAGCAGTACTAGAGCAGCTCAATGACAGTGAGGGAGAAATACCTCAGATCCAAAGCACAGAGGAGCCAGTCCAGACATCAGAGAATGACAGCAAACAGCCCCCTCCACAGACAGAGAAAACAAGTGAGGGACAAGGTGAGCCAAGGTCATCTTCATGTGCAATGTAATGTTTGTCCAGGAAGAAACCTTTAAGAAAATATAGCATTGTAGATGTACAGTAACATAGTAATATACAATATACACATATATACACACATACATGCTGTGTTTTCATTCCTTGTGGGGACTTTACAATGACTTGCATTCATTTCTTAGACTTATCCTAACCTTAACCATAACCACTACTTGCCTAACCTTAACCTTGACCCTGACCCTATAACACTTAACCTAACCCTTGCCTCATCCTAACCTTAAACCATGTTGCCACCCTAAAATTCAGTGTCCCCACAATGTGAATGTGTTAACAGGTTGCTATGTTGCTAGTGGCTCTTTTAATTTCATGTTCTTTGTTTAAAGGGCCAGTGATAGTGCCTTTTACAGATGCTGCAGTGGAGGCTGCCAGGTGTAAGGAGGCAGCAGAAAGGCAGAGCATGTGTAAAGGGATGACCTTGTGTATTTGTTATGCTGCCAGCGTCGGAGGCACTGCCACGCTGACAGGAACCGGCCCCAATCTGGTGCTCAAGGGACAGATGAACCAGTGAGTGTTTTCTTACCAGTTTTTAGTATTCCATTATTTACAATCTTGTTGATGGAAATATTTTATTCTTTTTTATTGCTTTCTTTAGGCTGTTTCCTCAAAACGGAAATGTGATTAACTTTGCCTCGTGGTTTGGCTTTGCCTTCCCAAACATGATCCTCATGCTCACACTGTCCTGGTTTTGGCTGCAGTTTGTCTTCTTGGGATTCAAGTGAGTTTGGGGATGGTTAAAACCCTAAATATAGCGACAGAGACTTGAATCAACATCACGAAACCTTTACCACATCAGGAGCATGATTGAGTGTAGACGTGACACAAAATGTTTTTTTCCCCCACATGATCTCTCTAGCTTTAAGAAGACATGGGGCTGTGGTTCTGTGAAGACAGAGAAGGAGATTGCTGTCTATAATGTGATCAGTGAGCAATATCGACTGCTGGGGCCCATGTCCTTTGGAGAGATCAGTGTCCTGTGTCTCTTCATACTGCTGGTGGTGATGTGGTTCACACGGGATCCAGGCTTTATCGACGGCTGGGCAGCTAATCTCTTTAATTACAAAGCAGAGTTCGTATACAGAAATTTTCAGATTTTTCACTTAAGTGCCACTTACACATTGATTCACTGACATTGATATAGTTGATAAAATGTTCATATTACTGGATTTGTTCATTTTGTCATCACTCCACCTTTCAGGTATGTGACAGATGCCACTGTGGCAGTCTTTATCGCAGTCCTTCTCTTTGTTCTGCCGTCTAAACCCCCACATTTCTGTTCACGGATAACTCAAAATTTTGACTTAGGTGAGCCAACATTCTGGAAGAACATACTTTTATATAAGTTGATAGAGACTGTGCAGTGACATTTGATACTGAATTTGAATTTATTGGATCTGTAGCATGCCATCAAACTACTGGCCCAACTCCACGCCTGCTCACCTGGAAATTTGTCCAAAAGAAGATTCCGTGGAGCATCATGTTTCTTCTTGGAGGAGGTTTTGCTTTGGCCAAGGGCAGTGAAGTAAGTGGCAGTGTTGATGAGAAAATGGGCACAAGATTATACACAATATGGTAAGAATAAACATAGAGGTGGAAATGTGTTGGTGGCATCATGCTCGGCTGTGTTTAAAATTACAACCTTTAACATTTTTATGAAACCAAACCCTCTTTTTTATACTATGTGTTTTCAGCAGTCTATTCAGAAATGGTCATTAAATGAACATTACATTTTGTACTTACCTCTCTAATGTGTAGGTTTTATTTTTAGCCCGCCATTTTTTCTTCTTTGGATTAAGACTGGCTACTTATGCACTAGGGATTCACAGGAAGTGGTGCAGCATGTATTCAGTATTTGTTTTTAATATTATAATCAAAATCAGCCTTTGCCTATAGGGTTTCCTCTAATAACAATATCAGAGCTATATAATTACTGATAATGATCAAACATTCCACTGAATATGTTGCTTTGGTTTCATTCATTTTTGTCACCACTGAGTTACATTTCAAAGTTTACTGTATATTGTGTACAAACCTGAATTACTGTACTCACAGTTAAGCAAATGGTAACTCAACTGTGTGGATGAAGACTGTGTACATTTCGAGAAAAGAGCTGAACTCTGTGTGTGTTATGCATATCCATTTAGGAGTCAGGACTCTCCAATTGGATGGGAAATCAGATGACTCCCCTTCAACACATCCCTCCCTGGGCAGTTGCTATCATTTTATGCCTAGTGATTGCTACCTTCACTGAGTGCACTAGCAATGTGGCCACTGCTACACTATTCTTACCTGTCTTAGCTTCATTGGTAAGTTGTCAGAAAGAGAGTGAAATGTGTTTCATGAAAAAATGTATTAACTAAAAAACAAAAGCAGAGGCAGGATCTCAGACTGCAGGATCCAGACAATCCTGATTGGCAGCAGTGGTGTGTGGGGATTCCTGGTGTACTTTCTTTTGAACCAAAGTCAGTTTACTCAATTTGAGTTCAGCACTAAAACTACTCCCAGTGGGAATTGGCCTGTTTTTTCTTTTTTGGTTACCCAACTAGTTGGTCATTCAGGCTGAATATATTTGGTCCCCTTCCCCGTGCCCCTCCTTTCATTAATACCCTGCCAAACACACCAATTCAGCCCAGTGCCTTATAATGCTGCCCACCCTGCTGCTGCTGAAGAATAGCATGCCCGCTAGTTGAGCACTCAAGACAATGCCAAAGCTGGCTTGCAAAAGAAAGCGCCAGGCAGGAATATTCAGATAGATATTTATTGAGGTAAGCGAGTGGGTAAACCTGGACATTCAAAACGTGTGAAAGTAGAGAAAGAAAGAAAAGAGTATCTGATCAGCCCCATGCAGCTGAGAGTGGGGAGATGACACTTTGTTCTTGGCTTGTTGCACTTTATGTGTCATCCTGTCAAGTGAATCTTTATCATTTGATGTGAACAAAAAACATCTGACAAGGCAAAGAACTGCTATCATGGCGACCTGCTGTACAACCTATAGTTTAAAGGAGACTACATAAAGTTTAAGTCTTTTCAGGCTTTGTTTATTTTGAGAACCAGAAATGACTGTGCATTTGTAAAGTACTGTACTGTAATTCAGAAGCAAATTCCACAAACTAATGTTTTCTGCATCTTAGTAGTCTGCCATTACTGCTACCTATGTACTGCTTTTTTATCTTCGATAACATGACTCAACCCCAAGCTTGTAGTAATTACATCTTAATGACCTTGCACCCACCTAATGAGAGTTTTCACCCTGCAGAGAAGTGCACACATTTCAGTCTGAGTTATGTGACAGTGATTATGGTTGCAGGAAAATAGCCAGATACAGGAGTGTAGGAATTATGTGATCAAAGCTGTGTTCATCTCTGTCTCAGATGGTTAAAGCTTTCTGTGTAAATTTTGCAGTCTCAGTCCATTGGGATCAATCCACTGTATATCATGGTGCCTTGTACTCTGAGTACCTCATTTGCTTTCATGCTGCCTGTTGCCACACCTCCAAACGCCATAGTCTTCTCTTATGGATACATCAAGGTTGCTGACATGGTGAGTATGTAGTTTGTTGTGTTTGTTCAATAAATTATATGTTGAAAAAAGTTTCTGCTGACATTGCTGTGGCTTTAAGACCTCTGTTACACTGTTATGAACTTTTGCTCATATTCATTTGGAATTGTGACCTTCAACTGTTAAAGGAATAGCTCTACATTTTGAGAAGCATGCAACTATACCGGAAGTTAGATGGGAATACCACTCTTAAACAAAGTTCATATTCACCTCACATTTGCGAATTTGGACTGGACTGCAGTCTACACTGAGTCACCTCAAGCAGCCAAGGTACCACCTGTCTAAAATGCTAGCTGCAGTGTTGCCATCTGTTTTTCATGGAAAGTAGTTAAGGTGCCCATGACGTGCTCATTTTGCTCATTTCCAGCCATTTAATGTTTAATCTTGAGTACCTCTAGAGCAGCTTGGCACCCATCATAAATCCAAATAGTCTGTAATTTTTTCAGAATGATAAAACCAGAGAGCCTCTTCCTAAAAACAAGTTTGTGAATGCGCACACCTCCTGTTGCCAGCGTGTCAAAGCTGGACAGCACAACAAACCACAACGGCATTAATTCATTTGAATTTTTCCTCCATAGATAGGTAAATAATGGTATATGTACCAATGAAAAGAGATGTGTAACACTCTAAACAACGCAGGTCATTGAGAAACCCCATAATTTAACTGGCATAATGCAGACATAGTACCTTCTGCAGCCTTACAACAATTCTCTGTTAAGGTAGCTCGAACACAGAGACGAGCGAGTGGGAAAAAGACGGACCCAGGTAGCTGGTGCTGGTTCAAGCAGTGATATTTATTTACAGGGATACAGTGCGATGATAGAGACATGATGTAGGTAGGGGTAACCGGGTGTTGATCAGCAGCAGATGCAAAACAGTCAGTGGTATGGTGGATGATACTGGACCAGGCTGCGGATGCTGGGATCACTCCTGGGCTGGTCAAGGTAGAGATGATGGTGGCTGAGGAGACAGGAGCATGTACAGACAGTTAAAGGAGACTGTGCATCAACCTGTATGGTGGAGGCTGGCAGGGCTGAGATGATCTAGGGTCGAGAGGAGCGGTCCGGAGAGG